TTTTGATATATTGTAGACTGTATTGAGGTTGAAGCTTTTCTCTCTCTTCTTCCCTGAAGAAGCCCTTGTTGGGCGAAACATATAGGGAATTACTGCAACAATACAGCCAAGCTTCAATGTTTGTTTTTAAAGTATTGTAATTATTTACTCTTTTTCTTTCCCCTTTTTTTTTTGTAAGATTAAATAACATTTATTGTGGTTTTTAAATCTGTTTATCATTGTAAATTTGCACCCTGAAAATCCCACACTATCTAGTTCAACATTTTCAAATTCCAGGGATGTGGTGCGATTTATGTATCTTGTCACTCACTCACCACTTCTTGACAATACCCTATAGAATAGTTCATATACCATTTTAATACATCTTAGATACTGTATATCACGTGTTACATGATAGCTACTTATATCTATTTTTTCAAATCACAACTCATATATACTCTATATATTTTTTATAAATAATAATAAGAATTTCATTAGCTGGCTGGCCTAGTGGCAGGGGGTGTCCCCATAATTTTCCCTGTGGCACAACCCTAATATCCCTGAGCTTCTAGGTCACCCTGACTCAAGTTGGTGGAGTCGTCTTGGTGTTACTCATCTCTCACATGTTTTTATTGATGGTTGCTTTATGTCTTTTGATGAAGTGACTTACAAGTTTTTGTATACATTTTTGCTGCTAGATCATGCTATATGGGTACAATTCGGGACTCTGACCCTCGAGCTTTCCGAATTGTCACTTGAAATGTTACTGTCAGACCCGGATATTGTTAAGTTGGCTTCTATTCCAGTCTCCAGGCAGCCGGGACTAACCCTTTTCATATTGCTCATCGCAAGTGGAAGGCGGTGCTTCCTTGGCTGCTTGAGGAGGGTTGGGATGAGGCTTGTTTCCAAGAAATCATCAGCACTGCTGATATGCTAACTTGATCCAAGTTCCTCCACCATCTTCATTACACCCCGGCTAGTTTGGCCAGTATGGGCTTTGGATCTGTGACCTCTTGTCCTCATTGTGGCCTTGGGGGATGCGAATCTGTTTCACATGTTTTGGGTCTGTCCGGCTCAGGGGCGGACTGACAACTCATGGGGCCCCCGGGCAATAGGGGATCATGGGGCCCCTGTGTCCTTGTCCACACTCAAAAAAAACCTATAAAAAAGGTACCGGGGCATTTTATGGGGCCCCCTACAGCCCCGGGCTCTCGGGCACTGCCCGAGTGCTCGAATGGTCAGTCCGCCCCTGGACTCCGGCTCTTGCTTCGTACTGGCAGGACCTCTTTACTTTTTTGGAAAAAAAACTCTACATTTGCCGGTTCCATACACCGGAAGTTGGGCTTTTGGGTATTTTTAATGATTTTGTACATCAAACTCAACCTAAATATTAATACATATGCTCCTGTTTTATGCTAGAAAACTTGTCTTGTTAAACTAGAAACATGTCAATCCGCCCTCTATACAGAGATTCCACCAAATGGTGAATCTTGACTTGGCTAAATACAAGCTGATCTACAGAGGTCAGGCCTGCCCTAAAAAAAGTTTAAAAAATATGGCAACCCTGGCTGAATATATCAGACTATTTCTGAGGGGATATCCCAATATCACAGTCACTGTCGCAGGGTTCTACAACCTGTTAGTATTGGCGCTCCCTCCTCATCGGCTTACCTCACCGCAGGCTATCCCCGCTTCACTCTATCTTGAATGCTGCGGCCAGACTCATCCACCTTACTAACCGCTCCGTATCCCACCACCCCCCTCTGCCAATCCCAAAAAAGTAAAATTTTGAAAAAATTTGAAAATTTTGAAAAAAAAAGAGTTTTCTCTTAGTTTTTGTGTTTAAAATTTTGTAAATAAGTGATTTTTCTCCTTCACTGATGTGCGCTAATGGGGGGCACTAATGGGCACTGATAGATGGCACTGATGGGCACTGATGAGGAGGCACTGCTAGGTGGCGCTGATGGGCATTGACAGGCATCACTGATGGGCACTGAAATGCAGCACTCATATATGGCACTGATAGGCGACACTGATAGGCGGCACTGACTGGCACTGATAGGCGGCACTGACTGGCACTGATAGGTAGCACTGATAGACAGCACTGATGGGCACTAATAGGCGGCACTGATGCACACTGATAGTCGGCACTGACTGGCACTGATAGGCAGCACTGACTGGCACTGATAGGTGGCACTGATTAGCAGCACTGATAGGTGGCACTGACTGGCGATAGGTGGCACTGACTGGTACTGATAGGTGACACTGAAAGGCAGCTCAGATGGGCACTAATATGTGGCATTGATGTGTACTGGTAGGCACTGATATGTGGCATTGATGTGGCACTGATGGGCACTGGCAGGTGGCACTGATGAACACTGACAGCTGGCATTGATGTACACTGACAGGTGGCACTGCTGGGGCTACACAGATCATCAGGGCACACTGATCATCAGTTCCCTGATGATCAGTGTACATGTCCCCTCCGAGGAATGCCTATTACCGGCTCTCCTCACCTCTCCTCTGTCAACGTGACAGCTAATGAGGAGAGAAATGCTGATAAGCGACATTTCCCTATTTACATGAGATCAGCTGTGATTGAACACAGCTGATCACATGACCGAGCCGACATCTTCAGCTCTTTCCGTTGATCGAATGTGTGGTTAGAATGGGAGGACGTCATATGACGTCCTCCCAGAACGAGAGAACCGCCTTGCGCCCGTCATTGCCTTATGGGGGGGGCGGGAGGTGGTTTAAAAAAAATAAATCTAATTATATATATATATATATATATATATAAAATTAGATTTATTTTTTGTTAAAGGTGTTTATTTAGTTTGTTTTCGTAAAACAGTTACAATAACAAAGAAAGAAAAACAAACAACAACAGGAGCCCCAAACTAAGGACATAAAAGTAAGGATTACATAAAAAGGGGAAAAAAAACAGTAAACGAGGTATTGCCAGGGCTACCTTGAGCCCATCTAAAAAAAAAATGGCGACAGTTACATATAGAAACATTCCATAATAAAAAGAGAAACCAAAAAAAAAAACAAATGAGTACAGTCACACACAAACAAACACACACAATCTCACATATCCACACATGCTCCACCTATTCCTCATAAAACACAGGAGAGATAAAAAGCCCATAGACGCCACTACAGTATTATTATTATTAACAGTATTTATATAGCGCCAACAGTTTGCTCAGGATTTTACAATATAACGGGAGACAATACACGAGACAGCACAGTAACAATACAATGCGATACACGAGGGGTTCGAGGGCCCTGCTCCTTGGAGCTTACAATCTAGGAGGGAGGGGATAGTGGTACAGGAGGAAATAGCTGTGGGGGATGGAGGGCAGGGTAGGCTTCCCTGAAGAGATAGGTTTTCAGAGTGCGCCTAAAGGAGAGGAGAGTAGGTGACAGTCTGATGGATTGGGGTAGGGAGTTCCAGAGGATGGGAGAAGCCCTGGAGAAGTCCTGGAGATGGGCATGGGTGGAGGAAACCAGGGAACTAGAGAGTAGGAGGTCTTGTGAGGAGCTGAGAGTATGTTTTGGGTGGTATTTGGATACCAGATCGGTGATGTAGTTTTGGGGCAGTATTGTGAACAGCTTTATACGTCAATGTTAGCATTTTGAAACCCGACCATTTTATCCGTTGGGCAACTGGAAGCCAGTGGAGGGATTGGCAGAGGGGGGTGGTGGATACGGAGCGGTTAGTAAGGTGGATGAGTCTGGCCGCAGCATTCAAGATAGAGTGAAGCGGGGATAGCCTGCGGTGAGGTAAGCCGATGAGGAGGGAGCGCCAATACTAACAGGTTGTAGAACCCTGCGACAGTGACTGTGATATTGGGATATCCCCCAGAAATGTCTGATATATTCAGCCAGGGTTGCCATATTTTTTTAAACTTTTTTTAGGGCAGGCCTGACCTCTGTAGATCAGCTTGTATTTAGCCAAGTCAAGATTCACCATTTGGTGGAATCTCTGTATAGAGGGCGGATTGACACGTTTCTAGTTTAACAAGACAAGTTTTTAGCATAAAACAGGAGCATATGTATTAATATTTTAGGTTGAGTTTGATGTACAAAATCATTAAAAAAACCCAAAAGCCCAACTTCCGGTGTATGGAACCGGCAAATGTAGAGTTTTTTTCCAAAAAAGTAAAGAGGTCCTGCCAGTACGAAACTCCCTACCCCAATCCATCAGTGTCACCTACTCTCCTCTCCTTTAGGCGCACTCTGAAAACCTATCTCTTCAGGGAAGCCTACCCTGCCCTCCATCCCCCACAGCTATTTCCTCCTGTACCACTATCCCCTCCCTCCTAGATTGTAAGCTCCAAGGAGCAGGGCCCTCGAACCCCTCGTGTATCGCATTGTATTGTTACTGTGCTGTCTCGTGTATTGTCTCCCGTTTATATTGTAAAAATCCTGAGCAAACTGTTGGCGCTATATAAATACTGTATAATAATAATAATACTGTAGTGGCGTCTATGGGCTTTTTATCTCTCCTGTGTTTTATGAGGAATAGGTGGAGCATGTGTGGATATGTGAGATTGTGTGTGTTTGTTTTGTGTGTGACTGTACTCATTTGTTTTTTTTTTTGGTTTCTCTTTTATTATGGAAAATGTTTCTATATGTAACTGTCGCCATTTTTTTAGATGGGCTCAAGGTAGCCCTGGCAATACCTCGTTTACTGTTTTTTTCCCCTTTTTATGTAATCCTTACTTTTATGTCCTTAAGTTTGGGGCTCCTGTTGTTGTTTGTTTTTCTTTCTTTGTTATTGTAACTGTTTTACGAAAACAAACTAAATAAACACCTTTAACAAAAAATAAATCTAATTTTATATATATATATATATATATATATATATATATATTAGATTTATTTTTTAAACCACCTCCCGCCCCCCCATATAAGGCAATGACGGGCGCAAGGCGGTTCTCTCGTTCTGGGAGGACGTCATATGATGATGTCCTCCCATTCTAACCACACATTCGATCAACGGAAAGAGCTGAAGATGTCGGCTCGGTCATGTGATCAGCTGTGTTCAATCACAGCTGATCTCATGTAAATAGGGAAATGTCGCTTATCAGCATTTCTCTCCTCATTAGCTGTCACGTTGACAGAGGAGAGAGGTGAGGAGAGCCGGTAATAGGCATTCCTCGGAGGGGACATGTACACTGATCATCAGGGAACTGATGATCAGTGTGCCCTGATGATCTGTGTAGCCCCAGCAGTGCCACCTGTCAGTGTACATCAATGCCAGCTGTCAGTGTTCATCAGTGCCACCTGCAATGCCCATCATGCCACATCAATGCCTACCAGTACACATCAATGCCACATATCAGTGCCCATCTGAGCTGCCTTTCAGTGTCACCTATCAGTGCCAGTCAGTGCCACCTATCAATGCCAGTCAGTGCCACCTATCAGTGCTGCTAATCAGTGCCACCTATCAGTGCCAGTCAGTGCTGCCTATCAGTGCCAGTCAGTGCCGACTATCAGTGTGCATCAGTGCCGCCTATTAGTGCCCATCAGTGCTGTCTATCAGTGCTACCTATCAGTGCCAGTCAGTGCCGCCTATCAGTGTCGCCTATCAGTGCCATATATGAGTGCTGCATTTCAGTGCCCATCAGTGATGCCTGTCAATGCCCATCAGCGCCACCTAGCAGTGCCTCCTCATCAGTGCCCATCAGTGCCATCTATCAGTGCCCATTAGTGCCCCCCATTAGCGCACATCAGTGAAGGAGAAAAATCACTTATTTACAAAAATTTTAACACAAAACTAAGAGAAAAACTCTTTTTTTTTTTTTCAAAATTTTCAAATGTTTTTGGTTTGTTTAGCAAAAAATAAAAACCCCAGAGGTGATTAAATACCGCCAAAAGAAAGTTCTATCTGTCTCAAAAAAATGCTAAAAATTTCATATGGGTACAGTGTTGCATGACCGCGCAATTGTCATTCAAAGTGCGACAGCACTGAAAGCTGAAAAATTGGCATGGGCAGGAAGGGGGTAAAAGTGCCCTGTATGCTAGTGGTTAAAGGTGTTTATTTAGTATATATATTTTTAATCTATATCTTCTTTCTATATAGTCTGTAGAATAGTTTCATATACAACTTGTAAACATCTTAGATATATTAGATTTTTTATTATGTTTATAGCCAGCTATTTATTCCAATCACAACTCAAGCAAATCATATATATGATATGATACATGATTTTATCATTTTTATTGTCATTGCTTTTATTAATAAATGCACTATTTCTGGCTCAGATCTGTAGGGATCATTAAGTTAGATGCCTAGTTTAGACTTTGGATTCTTACATATACTTTGTAAGACCTAGAAAGGCGTTGATTTCTTCCCTTACATTCAGGGGCGGACTGACAACTCATGGGGCTCCCGGGCAATAGGGGATCATGGGGCCCCTGTGTCCTTGTCCAAACTCAAAAAAGTCTATGAAAAAGGTACCAGGGGCATCTCATGGGGCCCCCTACTGACCCTGGGCCCTCGGGCAGTGCCCGAGTTTCCAAATGGTCTGTCTGCCTCTGCTTACATTGCATCTAAATAACAAAAGGCCCATATTAGATTGAATATATCAGTGTGGCTCTCTCATTCTTCCAATACCATGTAAACAATATACACCTGATGAAGGTGGTCTTGTATGTCTTCCATTTTCTAATTATTGCTCCCACAGTTGATTTGTTCACACCAAGCTGCTTGCCTATTGCAGATTCAGTCTTCCCAGCCTGGTGCAGGTCTACAATTTTGTTTCTGGTGTCCCTCGACAGCTCTTTGGTCTTCACCATAGTGGAGTTTGGAGTGTGACTGTTTGAGGTTGTGGACAGGTGTCTTTTATACTGATAACAAGTTCAAACAGGTGCCATTGATCCAGGTAATGAGTGCAGGACAGAGGAGCCTCTTAAAGAAGAAGGTACAGGTCTGTGAGAGCCAGAAATCTTGCTTGTTTGTAGGTGACCAAATACTTATTTTCCACCATAATTTGCAAATAAATTCTTTCCAGATCAGCCAATGTGATTGTCTGGATTTGTTTTCTCATTTTGTCTCTCATAGTTGAGGTCTCCCTATGATGCCAATTACAGGCCTCTCTCTCATCTTTGTAAGTGGGAGAACTTGCACAATTGGTGGTGACTAAATACTTTTTTGCCCCACTGTACAAATACTATATCTGAGCCCTAAAGAAGAATGAGATTTTTGAGCCCCGAATGCATTGGAAATGTTATATTTTCTTTTTTTATGAACATTTTACTGAGATTTTAGACTCTTTGTTCTGGGACTTCTTTCTCATGGATCCGTTTTCATTGGGCATGGCCTCACCAGAGCCATTGTACCCCATATGAATCTGTTTGACTTTCTCCAACCATAAACTACTGATAAGTCAAGTCCAGCTCCTCCAATATACAGTACGTGTTCCAGATTTTACTGCTGTTTGTTTCCCCACTGGTGAGATTTACCCCTTCATATGTACTGATGACCATTGTCACTAGGACTGAAAGTGAAAGAAAAGAAAATATTCTGACCAGGGTTGGACTGACAACTCATGGGACCCCCGGGCAATAGGGATCATGGGGCCCCTGTGTCCTTGTCCAAACTCAAAAAAGCCTATGAAAAAGGTACCAGGGGCATCTCATGGGGCCCCCTACTGACCCCGAGCCCTCGGGCAGTGCCTGAGTTTCCAAATGGTCATTCTGCCCCTGATTCTGAGTTGTCTCCAGAATAGGAGAGGAGGGGAAATCTTCCAAATGGGGAACTGATTTCAGAGACAAATGTCTAAGAGGAGATTTCCCTCACTTTGGAGAGATTACCTTTCAATTCCTGTTGTATCTAAAAAAAAAATAAATTATTTTTTTTAAAAAATTGTAGAAAAAAATAACATGGCCAAAGCTCAGTTGATTAACATTTTTAGAAGTTTATATAGATCTACAATCATATTGGAAGTTAAACATCTTTTGTATTCATTTTCCTTATCTTATTTAGTAATAACATATAATAATAATAATATATATATATATATATATATATATATATAAAAAAAATATATACACATATTATATATATTTATGTATATACTGTATATTTATATATATATTTATATATAAATAATTAGTATTATTATTAATAAATAATAATACTAATAATTTATTTAAAAAGTTATATGATGCAAAATATAATATAAAATTATAAATTAAGGATATGATCAAGATGTAGTACAGTTAATACAGTTAAACAAATCCATTTTTTTTATTTAAAGTGACATGAAATATGAACAAAACATATCCCTCTATAGTGTGTGCTTGTCTCAATCCAGAGCACTAAATGTCATTTCTGTCTGTTGCTTCCTTCCTCTGCTATCCATATAAGTCACTTCTGACAAGTTTTCCTGACACCAAGAGAAAAATGGTGACAGGGGAGGAACATATAGCAGATTGACAGCCTCAGTTCTGTACCTGTGTGCTGTGTGGAGGGGGGGGGGGGGTGTGTGTACCTCTTCCCTCCAATCAGCTCTCAGGGCTTTCCTCACTGATGTAACATTAGCTCCCCGCAGGGGCGGACTGACAACTCATGGGGCCCCCGGGCAATAGGGGATCATGGGGCTCCTGTGTCCTTGCCCAAACTCAAAAAAGCCTATGAAAAAGGTACCAGGGGCATCTCATGGGGCCCCCTATTGACCCCGGGCCCTCGGGCACTGCCCGAGTTTCCAAATGGTCAGTCCGCCCCTGGCTCCCCGCCCTCCTGCTTTTCAGAGGTGAGAGCTCCTGTGAGAATTCTGTACTTTTAATGGATATAGGAGAAAGAAGGCTGCAGATAAACAGGTGCAACTAATGTAAGGGGAATTATTTCATCTCTGTGTATCATCTGAGGCCAGTCACTTCACTGGGTATATGGAAGAGTTTGCAACCACTTTAATGTTCTGGTTTCTGGTACTTTAAATTTATAGGGGCTTTAGATGGCCCTTATGGCTTGCAGAAGCTTCTTTTAAGTATCCTGGACCTCTTCTTGTGTTAAAAAGGCTGCCCCCTCATTAGCCTCATTAATTCACTTTTTTTTCAGAAAGGAAAAAAAAAGCAGGAAAAAAAGCTACAATACACACACCAAAAAGTTTTTTAAAAAAGCGTGAAAAAATTACAACTTAAAAAAAAAAATTAAAAATTAAACACCCCCCCCCAAAAAAAAATATTTTAAGGCAAATTTTGCCAAAGCAGTTCACTTAGTAAAATTTAGTTTTTAGTGAAATTTTTATAGATGGCAAAGTCTGGAATAATTGTTTTTGCTAAAATTACGCTCATCTCTAATCAGCACCATTTGAGAAGGTGACAGTGAATTTTCCACAGATTATCTGCCAGCAATAATTCCAATCTAAACTGTGTTTTGTTAAAGAAAAAAAAAAATATGAGCAGCTCAATACTTTAATAGACATAAACAATGCAAAAAAAAAACAAAACGCCGTTATACAGTTATACAAAAATCAGCATTTGTAATGGATGTTTAATATTGTGGACATCCATGACAGGGGATTTGTAGAGAACTACGCCACATTTAAAGTGCTCCCCAAATTAAATGTTGGGAGGTGAAAGAGGTGCATTTTTTAACCCAGAGTTCTTCTATTTTATTTATTATTATTTTATTTATTATTTTATTTGTTTCATTTACTTACATATTTATTCATTCTTTTCTTTTCTTTATTTCCCTATTTTATTTATTTATCATATTTCTTTTATGTTGTATTTTATTTATTTCAGCTTTGATATGTATCTGTTTTTTTTTTTTTTTTTTTTTAATATCGCTTTTCATCAGCAGAGGAACGGTGACATCTGATGGCTGTTAGGTATACTGCAAAATGCACATACTGTGCGTGTTAATCCACCGTAGCAGGTCAATGCAATGGATTTTAACTTTTGGTTTGTTTTCAAATCACTGAGCTCAGAGCATTTTTTTGAGGGGGAATGCAGGGGAATGCATTGAATGCATGTTCGGATGTTCGGATCCAGCATTGAATTTATGTAGTGACAAGGGGTGCTGGGGGGTGCTGGAGGGTCTGTCGATGGTGGCTGCTAGGAGATTTATTGTTGCTGGGGGTATCTGTTTTTGAGGGAGGGGTATATAATTGCTAAAGGGCAGGGCCAAATATAGGGGAGTGCTGGGGTAGGCCCCCAGATTTTAGTTGACCCCCCCCCCCCCAGGTCTCTGAGAGAGCCTGGCTAATCCATAAGCCATCCTTATAGGGCAATTGATATAGGGGAGCACACTGATGCACACAGTTAATATATGTGACGCTCTGATTGGAACACTCCGTGTAAGGGGGCACTGTGATGGGACTTACCTGATGTAAGGGGGCACTCTGATTGGAACACTCCGTGTAAGGGGGCACTGTGATGGGACTTACCTGATGTAAGGGGGCACTCTGATTGGAACACTCCGTGTAAGGGGGCACTGTGATGGGACTTACCTGATGTAAGGGGGCACTCTGATTGGAACACTCCGTGTAAAGGGGCACTGTGATGGGACTTACCTGATGTAAGG